AAAAAGAAGAAGAGAGGAGGGAGACGGGGGAAAGAGAAAAGGAAAAAGGGAAAAGAAAAAAAAGAAGGGGGAAGCAAAGGAAAAGAGAAGGAGGGAAAAAAGGGAGGGGGGAAAAAAAGAGGCGAAAGGGGAAAAAGGGGGAAAAAAAAGGAGGGGGAAAAAGGGGGGCGGAAAAAAAAAGGGGAAGAAAAGAGGAAAAAAAGAGGAGAAAAAAAGGGAAAGGGGGGGAGAAAAGGGGGGGGGGGAAAAAAAAAAAAAACAGTAAGACGGGAAGAGGGATGAAAAAAAAAAAAGGACAGAGCAAACCGCGAACAAGGGTGAGGGTGAGGGTGAGGGGGTAGGGCGGGGCAGGAGATGGGGCGGAGTGTGTGCGTGTGTGTGTGTGTTGTGCGTGCGTGTTGTGCGTGCGTGCGTGCGTGCGCGGGGAGGGGGGGGGGGGCTGCGCGCCTTTGCGGCCGGCGCGAGCGGTGCGACCGACCCTGTGGAGGTAGGAGCGGATGTCTGACGGCGGGTCGTAGTTGACAACCGCGTCGATGGTGTCCGCGTCGATCCTGCATGAGCATGCCAGCATCAGCGCGGGGAGACGGTCTTGTGCAGAGTCGTCAGAGCAGCGCGAGAACACGAGGGAGGCGAGTACAGTGAATACAGCGAGCGGAACACGGCCGAGTCAGCGGAGTACGCGTCCTCTCGAGCGCTGGTTGGGAGACAAGGCTGCGTCTTCCGCTTCTAGGGCGACGAGATACGGGGAGATACAGGGGAGATATGGGGAGATCTTCCGCTTCTAGGGAGGCGATCCCGCGCGCCATCGCGTCGGAGGCGACAACGACGCCCGCCGTGCCGATCCTGCGACGGTGAGTACACGCCATTGTCAGAGCGCGTGGAGCCAGGGATCTCTGACTGTCTTGTCCGTCCTCGGCTGTCTGTGCTTGTGCGATCTTGGGCCGGGGGGTTGTGCTTTTGCGTGGTGAGTACTGGTGAGTACAGGGGAGGCGAGTCCACACAGCGAATGCAGCGGGGCACGGCGGGCGGCAGTGGAGGGCATGGCCACCCCCGTCTCGAGCGCTGGCCGGACAACGCGCGCTCGCCGTCTACACCTGGGGCCATCTAGGAGGCGGGGGGCCGCATCGCGTGCAGCGTGTCGTGCCGCAGCTTTGCGGGCACGGCGCTCGAGTACTCTCGCGCCGACACACCGAGGAGCTGCCGCGGCGGGACAGAGGGAGGCCGTGAGGAGGGCGGCGGGGAGGGGAAGCGAGGCGGGGAGGGAGGAGGCGGGGAGCAGGGAGGAGGAAACGGAGGTGGGGGAGGGGGCAATGAGAGGCGGGGGGGGGGGGGGAAGCGGAAAGGGGGGGGCACCTGCAGCAGCTTTGCGAGTCGGCGGGTCCCCTCCCCGGACGAGGTGAAGATGAGCACACACGAATGGTTGGGCCGGGGGGGCGCGCCGCCCTCGCCCTCGCTCTCTTCCGCGGCGATGCCGTCCTCGCTCTCGCCCTCGCGCGACGACCCGCTCTCGCTCCCCTCGCCCTCCTCCTCTCCAGACGCGGCGCCGCTCTCGCTGCCGCTCTCGCTGCCGCTCTCGCTCCCGCCCTCGCCGTCGGCGCCGCCGTCCCCACCCCCCGGCGGCGCGTCCCAGTAGCGCTTCGCCTGCGGCGCCTTCATCCAGCGGAGGAGGAGGAGGAGCAGCAGCGGCTTGTCCGGCGCGCCGCACGACAGCATCCACTCGCGCAACGTCGCCTACCCTCGGCGCGCGCCCAGACTCATCCCGGCAAATCTCGCGCCGCCACGGCCCGCGCGGCGGCGCCGGCGTCGCGAACCGCGCGCCCGAGACGCAAAAGTAGGCGGCGCGCTCGAGGCGGAGCGGGGCGAGCCTAGTGGGTGAGTCGCCAACCTCGGGGCGGGAGATATGGGGAGATATGGGGAGATATGGGCAGCCTACGGGGTGAGTGCCAACCTCAGGGCGGGAAGACGGTGGCGTGTCTGCTCTTCCGCAGCACCGCATGAGTGCGAGTACGGTGAGTACGAATACGGTGAGTACAGCGGGGTACGGCCGAGTACAGCGGAGTCCGTGTCCTCTCGAACGCTGGTCGGACTACGCGAGTCCGCAGTCCGCGTCTACCGCCGCGTCGCCTCGCGGCAGAGCGCGTCAGCGTCGCAGAGAAGAGGAGCTTTGTCAGCGGCTCCCTGCCGATCGCGGACCCCGCGCCGCCGCCCGCGCCGCCATACGCAACGGCGAACGCCAGCGGCCCGCCCCGCGCCGCCGCCGCAGCTGTGCCGGCGAGCGGTCGGCGCGTCACCTCCGCCGACCGCCATGCGGTCGCGCCGCCGCCGCACCCGCCGCCGCCGCCGCCCGGCGCGGCGGGCGGAGGCTGCGAGTAGGCGGAGGCGAGGAGGAGAGGCAGCCACGACTGGAGGCCGTGCGAGAGTAGCCGGTCCGCCTAGAGATTACCCGAGATTACCCGAGATTACCCGAGATGATCCGAGATTAGCCGGTCCGCCTAGGGTGGGCGACGGACTGGCTGGCTCTCCTCAGCTGCCCCGCTTCTAGTGACGTGTGGAGGCTGGACAGCGACCCACTTCTGACTGTCGTTGCTCTCTCTCCCTTCTCGACGGCCTGTGCTTGTGCGTCGTGGGTCCGGACATTGTGTGTTTTTGCGTGGACAGCGACGACGCGCGCCTCGTCGACGACGAGCCATCGCAAGTGCTGGAGTGTAAAGCCGCCACCCGCGCCCAAGTGCTCGACCAGTCGGCCCGGCGTCGCGACAAGCACGTCTACCGCCGACCGGCCGCCGCCGCCGCCGGCCCCACCGCCGCCGCCGGCCCCACCGCCCACCCTTCCGCCGCCGCCTCCGCCGCTGAGGCCGCGCGGGGCGGCGCGCGGCGCGCCGAGCAAAAGCGCGCGCTCGTCCTCCCAAGACGCGCCGTCCATGCCGACGGCCAGGCCGACCTGCGAGGTGCGCGCTGTGGCTCACGGAGCGGCGGGTGGGGGCGGGGGGGGGGGGTGGCGGGGGGGGGGGGTGGAAAAAGAATGGCGGGGCGGGGCGGGGGGGGGGGGGGGGGGTCCGGGGTTGCGGTTTGGCTCCAGGGGGGGTCGGGTGGTGGCGGGGCGGGGGAGGGCGGCGTGGCGGGGCAAACAGAGAAAGTTCGGACGGGGGGTGTACAAGGGCAGGCGGTCCGGGAGGGGGAGAGGGGG